GATGGTTACATGATGATCGAACCATTACAAATCCCGACGAAATTGTTCCGTAATGAGACTGTAGCATTTCTCGTATAACAATTAAGTTTGTTCGAGCAATAGCCCTACTTTATTTATTTATTTTCAAGAAGTCATATTTTGTGAGCGTAGGGCCACCCACCACTGAAGCTCTATCAATGAATATTTTGACAAACATCCCCTTACTCTTTCTCATTCTTGGTAGCCATCTTTTGACGTCCACGGTCGTGGGATTTGAAAGGCATAATTTAAAAATTGGTATTACAACTTGACCACTTTCCAAAAAATCATTCTGATATTGACCATTTTCAAACTCGATCCTATAATTTGACATTTTAATCAAATTTGATCATTTTTTAATCAATTTTGGTCTTTTTTTTAATCACATTTTAATCCATGTTCCAGGTAAAAATGACCAAATTTGATTAAAATGTTAAATTATAGGACCAAATTTGAAAGTGGTCGATATCGGGATGAATTTTTAAAAAGTGGTCAAATTATAGGAACAATTTTGAAATTATGCCGGATTTGAAATGACAAGGTCTCCATTAACAGTCCTCTTTAAAACAAAGGGTCCCAACTCCCATGACAAGCACAGCCCCTGGAGCTGGAGCCACTATTAACGAAAATCGGCCCCCAGGCCGAGTCTATTCCACTAGTCGAAAAAAAGCCATTAAAATTTCTTTCCTAGTGCCGAGCAACGCCTTGTCCTGAGATGCTTTAAAGACCGTTCTAAGGGGACAAAGAAGATTCATAGTCGGTCATATTTCGTGATCCTCGCGTGCCATTTGATAAGATACTCTTCTACTCGGTGGACGACACACTTTTGTGGCCATTCACATCCGGTTAAGGGAGAAATTTTCCAAGCACTCACTGTGTTCCCAACTTCATATGGAATAGACATATTGTTTTAACTAACAGAATCTTGCCACAGGAATAAAAATGATGGGAAATATATATACATGAGGGCATAAACCATACAACTTTGATTAGTGCAGGTTGTTAAAAAACTGATCCTTGAGTTTTGACTTACTGTC